CCAGGTACTGACCAGGCTCACACCTGCTGAGCTTCAGTGGGCTGCCATTCATGAGTTGCAGGGTGATGTGCTGCTGACAGATTATATTTATGTATATATGAATGTTTGAATAAGTAAGTTATTTAAATAGAATTTCATAGCCACATTATGTGTGGCTGTCAGTTGCTTAATCCAGTCTGTTCAGTGGATTGATGTGTAGATGAATTAACAAACATTTGTCTGAAACACTTCAGGATAGTTTGGTGGATAGTTTGGTGGATAGGGTGATTTTGCCTTTTAGTAAGGAGTGCATTGTAACTACGCTTCCAAGTACTGTTTGACACTGTGTGTTTTCTGCCTGAGCAACATTTAAAAGTTATTTTAAGGTTGGAGTTGGTCTGCTTGCGGATGATTATGTTTGCCCAGATTCTACCTACTAGAACAAATGGTTATGGACAAGTCAAAGATTCAGGAACTGGAAACAGTTTAGAAGGTTGCTGTTGTATTTGTGATCACGCAGATGACTCGACAATAGTCACAAACCTGGTAACTATATGTGTGAATATCAGTGGATGTATTTGTTTCTGCTGACTTATGCAGGGTCTCGTTCAGAGGTTCAGTAGCTTCACGTTCACCTTCAGTAGCTCCTGTAACGTCAATACAAAGTGTAAAGCACACGGCTCTGTGATCTGGCCTTTACCTGAGGAAAGGTTTGGCAAGGCTGGATCGACTGGTGCCTTTTTCTACTGGTGTGGCCCAGCAGCTCGGCGGGTTCAGGATGACATGCCTGACGCAGAAGGTGGTGTCGGCAGGGAGAAAAACTTCTTTCTAGCTACAGCCCGGAGTGATCGCTTGTGGTTTGCTTTCTTGTCGGGGGGAGCAGTCTCCTCAGACATCTTAATGGGTCAGGGAATTGTCTGGGTCCGCAGAACGTCACTGCCTGTACTGACCTCTGGAGCCATGTTAAAAAAGCAAGCCCACTCTTCACTTCTAATTGTAAGGTAACGTAGGACAGGAAAAAACGTCTTACGTTTTTCGCAAAAAAGGCAGTTTATGAATGGCAGGCCTTGTCTTTCTGTGCTTGCCCAGTGGAGTGCGGGGAGAGGACGAAGGCGAACGTGGGCCCGAGCACTCGGATCTACGGGGGAAGTTCCGTGAATCGAGGCCAGTGGCCTTGGGTGGTGTCGATCCAGGAACACGTCAACGACTCCTTTGGCTACTATCATTACTGCGGCGGCTCCATCGTCGACAAGCAGTGGGTCATGACGGCAGCGCGCTGTGTCTCTGCACCCTACTCTGGGTGAGTAGAGCTCTGCCACTGCAGGCTGGCACGCAGCTGCAACCACACTGACATTGTCCTCTTACAACGAAGATGAGTCATTTACTACACTGACAGTGGAATAAACTGCCACGCTTAGATTCACAGCTATTATAATACACACAGCTATAAGCCAGCTATTAGCAAAAAAGCAACAGATAGTACCACTGAAGGGATATTTCTGGCTCACATTTTGATGTGCTGATAAAAAAAAATGCCGTTGCACATTGAGGGGCCCCCTGGTGACCTCGGGGCCCTAGGCAGTCACCTAGCTGGCCTAAGCCAAGGGCCGGCCCTGGCTACAGCAGGGCTACTGCAGGGCAGTACAATGACTGAATTCTCACCAGGTAGTGAAGACATTTAATTTACTGAGATCATATGGAGTATAACTGCCCTCAAGGACAGTTTCCTCTGTTGAACAAATGGCTTGTTCGCACTCTTGAGAAGCAGGTGTTTCAGGGTGCCTGTAGCACCTACTATACCTAGAGGAGGCTCTCCAGCACTGAGGTTCAGTGCAGGCTCAGGAAGAAGTGTTTCATGGCTTTAGAGATCTTATCATTTTGCAACAAGAAAAGTTTAAAAACTAAAAACTAGCAATTAAAGCTCAGTTTTGCTGGGCATTGGCAGAATGCAAAAATGTAAGTTGCAATAAATCAAACAAAAAACTATTTTTTGAATGAAACTCTGATCCAGAGAAGCTTACATGTATCCAGTTATAGTGCATAGCATACAGACTAGACATTTTGCTACAGCATGTTGCTCAGGTGTGCAACAGCTGGGCTCTGCATGGGCCATGAACCCATAACCCTTCTTTCCGTTAGCAGCTGAGAACCCTGATCACTGCTCCACACTGACATTCAATCTGGATGACTATACTAAAGGCTCAGTTAAGTGGAGTAAATTACAGGAAAGTCAGGTATGCCATGATAACTGGTACAAATCAATAACAAGGCATAGGAATTATGTGGTGATCACCCATTAGCACTAGAAAAAAATAGTATGTGCAGTTTCAGATATTGATGCTGAATAATAATAGTAATAATGCTTCTCCCAATCTCTCTGCCACAGAAACCCTGAAACAATACTGATCAAAGCTGGGGTGACAAATGCACATACCGACAGCAATAACTATACCCAAGAGCTTGGCGTGGCCAAGATCATCATACATAATGAGTATAACCCCATAACGCACCAGAATGACATTGCGCTGCTGAAGCTGAGGACGCCAGCTGAGATCAACGACCACGTGAAGCCCGTCTGCCTGCCCACCACTGCAGATGAACAACACCACCTGGAGTACTGTCACTTTACCGGCTTCGGACTGCAGGAAAACGGTAGGTTTCACTGACTGCTGAGCACTGGCACGGGCCTTACATTGGGATATATTGTGCCCACTTTCACTGCAGGACCTCAGCAGTGCCACACTCCCCTCACCCTGGGCATTTAGTTACATAAGAATGGGCTAACCATGCCCACACCTTCAGTCCCCACATCACCTTCCTGCTGGTTATTGAAATGTTGTACAAGCTTCAGATGAGTCCAGTGTTAAATTGATTAATTAAAGCTGTTGACTTAAAAAAACCTAGAACACCTGCTCAGCTTGGTCCTCACGTCCCACCGCTGGTAACCCGTATTTAAATGGATTCCTCGCATCTCAGGTGCAGGAGAACTGTGATCTTACCTTGCCTTACCTTAAGGCTTACCTTGCACCCCGAGTTCTTAACCATTTTCACTAGATCAGTTCTTGACTTCATCAGTGAAAATGCAACCTAGTGCCAAGCTAGGCTTTTTAAGAAGCTGAAAGCCTGTTAATGCTTGCGCACACTCTACACAACCCAGACAGAGAAGCACCGCCATTTATCCAAGTGTGGAAATATTTCTTTCCTGTTTTGAGGAAGGGCTGAATAATCCTTGTGTAATCAGTTTAACATTGTTTTACGAGCTGAACTCATGGGTGCCCTAAGCTCCAAACTCGTTCCGTATCATTAAGCAATACGGGATCTTAAGGCCTGTCAACCTTCAGATCAGACAGTGGTCTGCTGTATATGAATTCTCCAGCAGGGCTGGTATCTGTTGATGCAGGTGGGCCTAACCCAGCCCCAACTCAGCTCCCTCAGAGATAGAACAGCAATGTGTCCAGAGCTCCTAACCAGATATAACCGTTGAGGCAGGTGCACCTTTCCTCTGGGTGGTGTGAAACACCACTTGTGCCTTTGAGCAAGTGATTGGATCAGATGTAAACATATTTTCATCGTATTTACAGCTTCCATGAAATACACCGACATTTGCATGATTTGAATTTGTGCCTGAACTAGAGTAAAACAAGTTCTAAGCTAGCTTGTATTAATATTGCAGGTAAAAAAAAACTTTTTATTTTTCCCAAAACAGGGACTTATGGTATACTCCAGGAGGCCGTGGGAGAAGTCATTTTGACACACATTTGTAACTATGCTCAGTGGCTTAATTTACAAGTGACGCCAGAGATGTTCTGTGCAGGAAGCATGGATGCCAAAGTGAGCGCATGTGAGGTAAAGACACCCAGAAGAGGTTTAAAGGCATAAATCTTTCTGTATTTGATAGGTGGGTGGGGAAACAATAATTTAAAGAGGCACTGTGACTTAGAACAGTTGTAAAACTACTATAACCTACCGCATATAGATGTAAATCTGCCATCAAGGACACAAACGGGCACCAGAGCTTGTAGTAGCTAGACAATGTCTAAAGAATACTCCTGGTACGAATAACATAGCTGCTGGCCATGATATTAAGAACCCCATTCAGATAAAGAGACTCTCTCAGGGCAGGCAGTTATCCACAAAAATATTTCCCACCTTTCAAACCCCTTTGAGTTGAAACCAAAAGACAATGCATGTAACATTACCCCTCTTCCCAACATCCCCTGAACGTCAACCAGATGAATGGGATGGGGAGTGATCTGCACAAATACCCAACACTGTGGAATACTTCCAACAACAGGCTACTCCAGCTGCTCAGTTTCCTGAATGATTCAGTGGTGGTTCCTAATCTTTTGGCCAGCGAGTGCAGTATTAATAGTGAAGCTCCAGTAAAAAGGCATTGTGGTTCGATGCAGGGTGACCATGGAAGCCCATTCCAATGCAGAACTCCGCTTGACAAGCGGTTTTACGCCTATGGGATCAGGAGTTTCGGAATAGGATGTGGACAGAAGCAGCAGCCATCGGTCTACACTCGCGTCAGCCACTACTACTACTGGGTTAACGACATCATCGGAGTGGACACCTCTCCAAGCACAGCACCCACTGACCCTCTTATTCTGTCTCTCTTTGTCCTCACTGCTGCCTGTGTACTAACCTGAGCATATAGCCCCCCACATGCAAAACTAGTTTCTCAGAGAAACCGAGGAAATAAACTATATTTATCTAAGACCATGCCTATAGCTAAGCTTTCATAATGGGGATCTTTAAAAAACTGGATTTGAATACCACATAGACAAGTAAAGATGAACAGTGTGTCAGCAAGATGAGACAAAGCAGGTCAGTTTATAGATGACTTTGTACGAGAGTGAACACCACAAAACAAAAACCTGGATTCAGAACAGAATTAGAAATGCAAAATTACAAACTATATTAACAACATAAACTTATGAAATACAAACAATTTTCAGTACCAGAGCTGCATCTTGGTCCTGGAGATTTATACTGAATCAGAGGGAGTAATGTCCCATTGCTGGAAGTCTGACAATGCACCTGGGTAATGTCTGGATTCATTTTCACATCTTAATTGTTTAGATTCTGAAATTATGACTTTCAAAATCTTGGCCAGTTCCTGGACCTAATTACAAGTGTTCCTGAGGTATGGGAAACCTACCTTTGTGTTACTTCACCAAACAATTCAGGTCAAGTCACAGTCACAGCTTCATGGTCAATAAGCGACTTGGAAAGTTTGGGGGATCCAACACCATCAGAGAGACCCAGAGGGATTTAAAGAACTGTGCTGTCCACTCGCCTTATAGCTGATGCGCTATTCCTTTCAACAATTTGTTCCATCCACCGAGGAAAGAAGTCATTAGACTCCCATTCCACCATACACACAGTTCAATATCCTATTTAAATGTGCAACATGTTGATGTTGATTGGTAAGCTTTGTGCAAATGCTGGAGACCTATTAACAGAGGTTACACTCTGCCAACAACTTTCACACTAAGCATGGAGTGTAAAACTTTTGTTACTAGAACTAGAACAGAAGTGTGCAGTCAGGCAAGTTCTCAGACTTTTTTCTGCATTTTTTTATCCGTTTAAGAAAATGTAGACTTAGTGAAAAATTGTAGAGAAGTACAAAGTATCAGTATAGCAGACAGTACAAGTATACCAGAAAGTAAACAAGGCTGGAAAAATATTTATTTCGATTCACTTACCAAATAAATGACAGGTTTATTCAATCCAAATAAATATGAACCCCAAAATTTAGCCACAGTAATGTTCCCTGATACGATTGTCCCAGTAACAACCCGGCTTAAGAAAGGGGTTATCCTCTTTTCCAGCTCCCCCCTTCACACTCACAGCAACACAGCTGGATGGAAAGGAGAGGAGCAGTGGGGGTGGTCTCTGTAACATTTCCTCAATATGAAAAGGAAAAAATGCAAAAGGTTTACTTACATAAAAGGCAGACATGAATTACGAATACATAATATGCACAAAAAACAACGGTATCGGAGATCACAAAACAGCCGTCATGGTTTTACCACTGTTACATTATTGTTAAAAAAATCATCCAATTCACTATTCCAGGTTTGGTGTGAAAAAAGGGGTTGGAGACAGGGAGGCTGTATTGCATTTATCCACAGCGTCTTGGTAAAGAGATGCCAAGTCAGTTTTCAGGAACGTCTTCTTAACATAACTGTCTCTCTTTTATTAAAAGTTATAAATGCTTGGGAAAAAAAATGGAAAAGCTAAACTTGTGGGTTTCTTTTCTTTTTCTTGCTCATAACCTTTTTTAAAAATTCAGAGAAAGTAAATTTTTTAAAAAAAAAGGAAATAAAAAATGTTCCCATTCCCCAAATGTGAGTCCGTACGGAGGGCTGCTGGCGAGCTGGGCCGGGCCACGTTACCCTGTTTTCACACAGTAAAGGTCTTTCAATGTCTTCAGCTCCTCAATGAGCGTTTTGTTCTGGTTCTCCAGCACAGCCACGCGGTTCTCCAGACACTTCACGTACTCTTTCTTCTTCCTGCGGCACTCGCGGGCAGCTTCCCTGCGGGGGCAGAGGGAAAAGAAACCTGGAGTCACCATTGACAGCATCAAGAGCCGAGCCACACAGCCCCAGGCCCTGCAATCAACACATCTCCTAGTGCAGTGGTTCTGAACCTGGGGCGCTCACCCCCCAAGGCCGCAAAGCACCCTTTCTGATTTTTTTAGAAGGTAAATCATCAAAAACACAAATGAAGCTCAGCCATGTCAGTACCTCTACAGATTTATAAGACCTAGGTATCTTAAGTAGTTCAGGTGGGTAGCTGCGTCAGCCAACAAGACCGCTGCTCAAGTATGAATGAGAAAAAAAATTAGACTCATTGTGTTTTTTTAAAAGTGAAGTAACTGTAATAGTGTAACTGTAACTATTTCAGGTGATGTTCAAACGTAATAACCAGAAAGTGTTGAACATAATGCATAATGTGGTTGAAAACAACTCATATTTCAGCTCTCAGAACAGACAAGGGAAAACAAACACCCCCATTTTCAGATTCTTAAAGCACCTCGTGTCTCATTAAAAGTTGAAGTGCAGAATGGAGATGTTGGCTGCAATGTATGTGGAATACCCTTCCTTGGTCGAGACTGTCGCACACCTGAAGAAGGCTCCACGGCCAGCACATGGAGCAACTAAGATCTCAACTGAGAAGACATTACTTTTGGACTACACCATCCATCCATTTTCTATCCGTTTCATCCAATTCAGGGCTGCTGCGGACCCTGAGCCTATCCTGGCAAGCAAAAGGCACAAGGCAGGGTAACCCTGGAGAGGACACTAGTGCATCACAGAACGCACACTCACACCAGAGCCAATTTCCCCACAAGCCAATTATCCTACCAGTATGTCTTTGGACTGTGGGAGGAAACACATGCAAACTCGGGGAGAAGATACAGAACTTCACACAGATAGCATCCCAGGAATAGATTAATGTAGTCTAGGACTAGGGCTATGTGGGGTCGCTCAGGCTCACCTGTTCTTTGCTAGCCGGATCTCTCTCTTCATCTGGGGGTCATCTGTCTTGGTGCTCTGAGAGGAGATGCTCACTGGTGATGTCATGACAACGGTCTGGGGCAGGGAGGTGGTGGTGGGTGTGGTGCGAATCTGGTAGGTCTGCATGTCTCCCCCGGCACCTTACAAGCACAGGAGACAGCACTCAGAGCTCTGCCAGAACCACAGTGCAGCACTATAGCCACAGAAAAAAACAGCCTGAAAGAGACATAAGAGCTGCCCTGGCGCTGTCCACAGATCAATGTCCCACTGACAACTGGACAAGCACTCAAGGCTAAAACACCCTCTGTTCACACTCCACCTGTCCTAAGCTGGCAAAAATAAAAAGGCTGAAAGAGGAATTATGTGGTAGTGAGGTCTTGCAAATGTATGCATCTAAATTAGGGACATAATGGCACTCTATTCTCCTGCTTAGAAACATGGGAAAAGCCAAACAAGACCGCTGCTCAGGTATTAATGAGAAAAAAAATTAGACCGTTTTTTTACAAGTGAAGTAACTGTAATAGTTTAACTGTAACTATTTCAGGTGATGTTCAAACGTGATAGCCAGAAAGTGTTGAACATGTGCATAATGTGGTTGAAAACAACTCATATTTCAGCTCTCAGAACAGACAAGGGAAAACAAACAGCCCCATTTTCAGATTCTTAAAGCACCTCGTGTCTCATTAAAAGTTGAAGTGCAGAATGGAGATGTTGGCTGCAATGTATGTGGAATACCCTTCCTTGGTCTCTTGAGACTGTCGGCATGTTTCATCTCACTCACTCTGCACGACCACCTGGTTGCTGGGCACCAGGATCTGCTGCCCATCGGGCGTCTGTGCGTACTGCAGGATGGTGGTGCCCTGCTGCGCTGTGCCGGAGTTGGTCATGGTCAGCGTCTGCAAGCCCTGCATGCCATCTGCCCCGGGGCTGGCCAGCTGAATGGTTCCGTTGGGCGCGATTGCAACTGAAAAGTAATGGCAAAGGCACACACTGCTGTAACCCTCACCCGTTGAACAGCACGACTCAGACCAACAGTGCAGGTGTGGTGGCAGATGTGCTAGGCTCATATCCTGCAGGTCTGACTGGTCATCATCATCAAGGCTTGAGAAGGGAGGTAACTATGACCAGTTAAGTCATTAATTTGTTAAACAGGTAGTTAAGATGTTGCAGTGGAACAGAAGCCACAAATGAGATCAAATATATAAAAAAACAGACCTCAGCAAAAGTATGGAAAGCTTTTTTTCCCCACTTCAACATGCTGGGGAACAGCGGGTTATTAAACAAAGAGAAGACGCGTGCAGATGTCTGAAGGAGCTGCTGTCATGCTGCGTTGAGAGGTGGGACCCAGCGCTGGGGTGCCTTACTGTACTGGCCGGTGCTGGTCTGGTAGATGGGCGTGGGCACTGTCATGGTTGTCATGGCCGAAGAGGAAGGGTTGTCCTCTTCTCCCTCGTTACGGGATGCCACTTCTTCTGACGACAGGTCGTTCAAAATCTTCCTGCAGAAGAGAGGAGAGTCTGTGAGCCCCGCCTGCTTCTCCTGCCCAGTCTAACAGCTCAAGGCTCCCAGGTGTGGCCACACACCTGCTCGTTTCATTCCTAAATCTTAATTGCCTAACTGAAGCCTTAATTAAACTAATTACGTTTCTGGTTGGGAACCTGTGCAAGTATATTTTTCTACTTGAAAAAGTTTGGCGTACTCAGAAGTTTGGTGTTTTAGGCAACTTCTAGAATGCATCCATCCATTTTCTAATCGCTTCTTCCAATTCAGGGCTACAGGAGCCTATCCAGGCAGACAACAGGCCAGTCCATTATAGGGCACACACTCACACCAGGGCCAGTTTTCCCAGAAGCCAATTAACCTGCAAGCATGTCTCTGGACCATGGGAGGAAACCGCAGTACCCGGAGGAAACCCACATGAACATGGGGGAGAACATACAAACTCCACACAGACAGCAGCCCAGGAACTGACCCCGGGGCCTCAGCTCTGCGAGGCAGCGATGCAAACTAACCACTGCGCCATCGCGCTGCCCTTCATTTTCCACACGTAGTGCAACAGGTAAGAGACGTCCAGCTTGTTTAAGAGCTGAACGCAGCCGAACAGTTCAACTCACTCCTGTCATTAAGTCAGTTAAAGTTCCAGTTGTGCAACAGAGCTCAGCTGGAACAAACCCCTGCAGGTGAGTGGAGCTCCAGGCCCAGCACTGGGGACCCCAGACACTATCTACTCAGTAGCAGCAGCAAGTACTGCATCATGCAAGCCTGGGAACTGCAGTGTTTCAGGCCCATTCCCGACATGCCCGTACAGCACAGGACTGGCGCCAGTGCAGCAAAGAAGAACCAGCACAGGCTGCGGAGAACAGTTATCTGCCTCAGAAGACATTTTTGAAGCCCTGCCCAGCTTGCTGGCAAGGGTGTTTGGCAATGAACAATGTTTTTAAAAAGGCTGTGTTTGAAAAACAGGTTCTCAATAGTAACAGACGTTATTTATAGGTTAACGTTGCATTTACCATAACATCAGGAAATAAACTTAACCCAGTCTTCCTAACTTATAAATTACGCAATCAAATAATTTCAAGAAAATCAAGCTTTAAACCTGCTTTATACCAATTAAAATGTAATTAATAAAATGCAGTAAAATAGGCAAAATTCCCATTTTTATAATTGAAAGCAAAAAGCAAGCACCGGTCTATAAGCCTCTGCTGCAGTGTCTGGGCAGTTAAGCGGTCTGGGCTGCAGGAGTGAACCGAGTCTCCTCCGCTGTGCAACGACCTTGAGACACGCCGAGGCCACCTTGCAGGGTGACAGACACGGCCTTCCTTATTTGGCTATGACCTAGCATGTTTGTTCTCTGCAGATCGTGATCTGAAAGCTTTATTCGTGCACTTAACAACTAAGAACATGTATGTTAAGTACTCAGGGATGGCAACACCCTGTGCAAAAGTAAAAACAGTGCTTCAGCTCACAGATGTTTTTCCCCCTGTCTCACTGTGCCATTTTATAAAGGTAATTGTAAAAAAATGCACTATATGGGACTGGATGAGGCATTTGTGGAGCACTGTACCATTATATAACTGAAAACTACTCCATGTTTAAACTAGTCTACAGTAAGTATCTGCAGCTTTCTGTAGAAGACACTTCACAGCTGTCTTCAGAAACGTTCGAGATTGGGGCTCATGTGTGGCAAGTAACCAGTAATATCACTCAGTCCAAGTGCAGCCTGACCTCGACAATGCAGACTTTGAGGGCTCAAGCCCAGGTCACGTCGCTGGCCAACTGCAACTGGGAAGGGCTGGTACTTTCTAGCTAGGGCTTTCTTGATTCCCGGCAACTTCCTAAGTGCCTGCAGATGTCTGGAAATATCAAGGAGGGATGTGCCTCTGCTTCAATTGGAGGTGACCCTCCTGTCTGTCTCTCCAGTGCCCGTGACTCGATCTAAGATGACTGGATTGACAGATGTGCCAGTCAGAGAAGCCTTGTCTTCACTTCCTCATTCTCCCTGTCTGGATACAGCGGCTGTCGCTGTGACAAAAAGACAATCAGCAATTCCAAAGTTCGTGGAAAAAAGGAATAGGAGACACTTCCACTGCTCTTCCAGCAGAACACAAACCGGTGATATTTAACATATAAGTCTCTTCTTCTCCATGTTTAAACATCTTCGGATTTCCCACAGACTATATGTAGTAGGATGCAGTTTCTTTTCAAGTTGTCATCACCCGTGACAACAGTCTGATACAGATTAGATTATTAATTCACATAAAGCTTTTGTCCAAAGTGAATTATATTTGTATCTGTTTGCACTGCTGGGCACTTTACTGAAGCATCTCGAGGGAAGAGCCTTGCTCATGGGTACAACGGGTTTGCCCCACCTGGGACTCGAACCCGCAACCTTTCAGTTAGGAGTCCAGAACCCTGGCCAATGCCCCACACTGCAGTAATAGCCATCAGCTACATAGCAGGCTGAGATTCAGTAAAATATTACATGGGTAGAGAAATCAGAGGCAAAATGTCTGGCATACCAAGCCAAAAAAGCTGGAACTAGAATTTACACAGGGAACTGGAATTATCACCTATTATGTTGGCAAAAAGGGACTGTTCCACCCACTGTTCAAACAGCGCTTGGAGAAGTATCCAAAGCACCTCAACAACTCCAGAGTGCATGTGAAGGATGCTGGGAGCGTTACCTGTACGATGGACGCCTGGCCAGCAGCTCCCGTGATTTCTGGGACGAGGCGGCGCTGTCTGAGGATTCCTGGGAGTCGTCACTGTCCGTCATCTGTGAGCCCTGGGACAGAGAGAGCTGGGAATACTCTGGGCTGTGGGATGAGTGCCGAAAGGGGGGGCTTGGGTTTGAAAGAACAGTCTTAAAGGAGATAAAGTGAAAGGGAACCAAAAGGCGAACGCAGACTGCCTGCCAAGCCTGAGGCTGTAGGGGAGCGACAATCGGCTGCCCTTCCGAGTCCATACCTGCACGGTCTGTACCTGGGGCGCCTGGATGACGGAGGACTGCGCGGACTGGATGACCCCCTGCACCTGGAACTGTCCCCCGGGGAGCTGCACCACCGTCACCGGAGAGCCGCCCAGAGACATCTGCACACACAAGCACAGCCCCCGCGGGCTGGGTTAGCCTGGGCCTGGGCCTGCGCCAGGACGCCGTGCGCCGGCATGCCCACGGCAGGCTTGCTGACCACTCCCCCTGCCAGGGCGCCCGACCCTTCTGCCGGCCTGCTCGCATGCCTGCCTGCCTGCCTGCCAGCGTGCAGTGATGCCACGTAGCAAGTCTGCCTCTACATTTAGAGTCACAAGGGGCGATTTGGGGAACATTTCATGTCCAACGGGAAAATAAGTTTGGCCATTTTTAAGACAGTCAGCAGCGAGTTGCAGATATATAGAGTCGCCAAAACGTTTCCGATTTCCTGTGTGAAGCAATGATACCAGGGCACTTCCAGCACTTCCGTCAGAACGCCCTCTCACACTTCGGTGCTGTTATTTCCACCATCTAACTGGTGGAACCACTGACCACAACCATTTACTACCAACTGTGCAACCATGCTGAAAACAAACAGAGAGGATATGAAACTGTACCGCAGAGGGCTTACAATAAGACCAACCACAGCCAGCAGAAGTAGGGGATAAAGATACATCTATACATACAATATACTCAATGTAGCTGTCCTGTACAGTGTAGGGGTTAACCCCAGGTCCTGGCTAAATACGGGGCTGTTCAGTCTGCTCTCTCTAAAGCTCCCTGACTCCCCCTGGAGCAGCAGTTTCTCTCTCCTCCCCCTGGAGCTGCTCCTCAGTGGGGGATGAGGTGGGTCCCCTCCTATACGTGAAGCACCTTGGGGTCCCTGGGGATGAAACGCGCTATACAAATGCCAAGCATTATAATTATTGCCATCACAAGTATTGTTTTTTTTTCCATGACTTGGTAATGTTTCCTTAACTATAGTGACATGTTAAGGTTGAGAAGCTGAGTTCCAGGTCTGGGAGGTGGGCGTGGCGGCCAGCACAAGGAAGACAGGTGTGATCTCTCGCTCTCCTGCCCCGCTCTTGTGTCAAGGAAACGGTCACATTTCCTAGACCCATGTTTTAACCCCCTCCACCATTATTAATTAAACAGGTAAGACCTACCGAATGGCATCCACCCATTTGTAATCGTCTACAATGCACGCTTAATACACAAACCTTAGAAATAATATTAAAGGTTGAACTGCAAGATCAATAGACTGCACTCCATGCTGACTCGATTTTGAAATTAGGACCCTGGCTCCTGGGCTAACTACAGTCTCCACAGACTAGGAACTATCTTCCCGTGCCTTGAACCCCAACACAGGGACAGCTATCTTTCAGTCGCTGTGTGTTCCATAGCGGGCATTACCGCGTGCACTCTGTGAGCTGCACCACGCCTTGCTTGTTTCTGCCCACCTTACCCAAGGGCCAGGGAACTATTCCAGCAAAAACCAGCCTGCAACGAGGATTCCGAGAGCGAGTGCCGGCTGGGAGTCTACAGTGACCTCACCCCCCAATGCACTCACACAGGCTGGACATCTGTATTAGTGGGGACCTGCCTTGGTGTCGCATTTAGTTCATTTACTGTTCCCTACTTCACACTGGCTAGACCATCAAGACAAACAGCTCTGGCACTTGTAGCACGTTAGGATGAGGTCTTCAGAGATCCTCCTCCCCAGACCTCTCTACGCCCACCGCTCCAGAGTCACGATCTAGGCGAGGACAGCCCGTCACGAACGCGTCCTCACCTGCTGGGCAATCTGCGAGATCTGGGAGGCGCTGATGGTGGTCGGGATGGTAACAGTCTGCGTTTCTGTGCCATTACTGCTCTGCTGCACCTCCTCCATCGTCACTGCAAAGGAGACAGAGACACGAAGACAGAGAGCGTGGCGTGAGTGCGAGACATAACCATCTGCCAGCTGGTGGCATGGACCCAGCTGGCACCTCAGTGATGGACAGCCGCGGAAGGAAAAGCTTGACCGACGTTAAACCCCAAAAACCCCTCTTCCCTGAGACACAGCAGGAGAGCCAGGTGTCTCCGATGCATATCTGATGTCTAGGATAGTGAATAGGATACAGTTTCTCCTTCGTGTCTGGCAGCTTCACGACGGACCCAGCACCGTGATGCTGTGGAAGTCGGGAATTCATCTGAAAGCATGGGAATTCTGCCCTTTTTACACGCTTATTTTCTGCTCTGATTCTGCAATGGACAGAGACGCTGCAGCACTGAGGGAACGGAACATGACCCCCCCACACAAACACATACAGCCCCCCTTGCCCTGCTCCCTTCTCTGTCTTGTTTTGGCACTTGCTGGGGGCTGGTTGCTAAGAAAACGATATCATCACAAGCAGCCCTGTGGAAACGGATGACTCACTGATTCTTCCTTGCTGAGATCACGTGGGGGGGGGAGGATCACAGCTGCCTCTCGCCAGCTCTCTCCCTCTGACCACCAGGTCGGGTCGGGCCGCACCACAGAGGTACGCAAGCCAGCACAAGCCACTGCCGGCTCAGTGCCACAACACAACACAAAACTTTAACTGCTACACAGCTGCTGTTGATAAGGTGCAGGCTGGAGGAGAACTCTGTAAGGAAAGAGGAGTGGAGTGGGTTCTGAGCGAGCAGGTCTTCTTAAAACAGAACACCACCACTAAAAGTCCTCAACACTCACAAGCCAACCAACACCGCAGCGTGGAGTCACGGTTAGTGCTCCTGACTCCCAAACTGACAGTCACAGATTCAAATATTGGGCGAGATGCTGCTGGTGTACTCATGAGCAAAGGTACTACTTCTTTACACAAACACATGCAGGGGTATGGAACACGATACCTAGTCCCATTGTTACAGCCGATATCCTGTCTTCTTTCGAGACACAGCTGGAGGAGATTCTCGTCTCAATTGGCTACTACTGACCAGGCAGGTCAGAGAGGTGAGAAATAAGAGGAGACCGTGTAGATTGTCCCATGTTCCAGACAGAAGCCCAGAGGGCCCCAGGGCTTCACCTGTTCACCATCCTGACACACTCAGGCCTGCTCCAGCCAAGGCACAGAGGGCAGTACGAGGACTGGTACATCCCGCCCCTGTCTGCACACTCCCCAACTCCAAACCCTGGACTTGGCTCCTGACTGGCAACATGTGACACACGCAGGCCGAGATCTTTTTCCCCAATCAGAAACTGCACTAGACTAGACTAGCCTGCAGAAAATGATATTGAAGCAGTTTTTGGAACCACTCACCTGTGGTGTCATTACCTTTCATCCCCTTACCTGCCTGACAGTGGGCTTTAATGTCCAAAGGTGCCTTCTGTGGCAGGACAAAGCCTCTTTTTCAGTCTGAGACCTCTGTCTGTGCTCGTATAGGAAATGTTGGAAATAAAGGCAGAACGAAAGGAGAAAAAAAAAAAGACTTTTTGCCATTTCCTACAAGTCTGTCGCGGAGGCATGCCCGAAGGAGAGTGAGCAGAGACAGACACGCCGTCTGTGCCTGTCCTTTCAGGGCGAGATCGTGCTCAGAGACATCATCAACAATACACCTGAGCAACACAGGTAGACTCAGACTTGTAAGAGGTGTTCAGACACGCACGCTTCTCTCCAGCAAGGCAGTGCCTTGACTCAGACAAAAGCGGCTCTGGCAGAAACTGTGGCCTGCAATTAGAAGCACACAATACAGACAGCTGTACCACCTAAACAGAACCATCGATCCATCTTCTATCCACTTCATCCAATTCAGGGTCACGGGGGAGCTGGAGTCTATCCCAGCAAGCAACAGCCACAAGGCAGGGTCCACCCTGGACAGGACAGCAGTCCACCGCAGGGCACACACACACACCTGGGCCAGTGTTCCCGGAAGCCAATTAACCTGACAGCATATTTGTGGACTGTGGGAGAAAACCCACGCCAACAAGGGTAGTACATACAAACAGACAGCACCCCAGGAACTGATCCCAGGGCCCCAGCACTGCGAGGCAGCAATGCCAACCACTGTCTCACTCTTAACAGAAACATTATACCTTTAAATATACACATCAAGTGGTCATGAGTAACCATGTTCATGATGTATAGGTGTACAGCATCACAGTACAGGGGCTGCTGGTGAAAAATACTGTATGGAGAATTATGTTTCAACTCTGCCATAAAGAATCTGTAGGTCACACCCTGGATCTGACCCACACTACAGATTTATGGATCCCTAAACCCAAGTACCAAAAGACAAAGACATTTAAAAAATGTGAACTTTGACTGTCATATTTACTTCAAGTACATTCCAGAAAACTCAAAGCTACTCAAAGAGCAATCGCTATGGTTGGAAAACGTCTACAGCAAAAAACTATTGTGGAAGATCAATAGAAGTATTGAGCGTTATGACCACACCCTGCACAGTGCTCTGAGCTCCTTCCATCAGGGCTCCACTGACTTCGACTGCCATGTTTCCTTCTCACAGCTCAATTTATACAAGAAAACTATTGTTCAGTCTTCAATGTGTCTAATGTATCCATTCCCCTCACAACCCAGGATTGTTATCTATTTTGGCCTGTGAGGATTATTTCCACACTCTGACTTCTTTTTTAATCTTAGACACATATGTTTTTTATTTGTTAATGGGATAATGGGGTCATGTGGTGTTAAATGTATTGTCACGTGTGCATATTTTCACCTGTCTGCAAAAAACACATCCCACATGAGACAATAAAGGAAGGAAGACAGCCCCTAGAAATGGAAACAGGCTGTTATCTTGGGATTTCAGAGAAACAGATCGGGCTCCTATTGCAAGGCAGTTAGATCCACTTCCAAGATTTACCAGCTGCAGAGATGGATGTACAAACAGAAACAAATAATAATAA